AAATGTGGGAGTGGAATGAAGGGAATGATGAAATTGAAGTGTTTATAGAAGAGACAGAAACACCATCTCTTGTGTTTCAGTCTGCAGAAGCTAGTTGGGCAAAACTCTGAAGAACAGGGCTGAAAATATTAGGCTAATGGAGGAAGAGAATAGAAGGAAAGCAGAGGAAGCAGAAGCTGAGGAGCAGCTTTTGGCCCAGCAGGCATACACTGTGGCTATAGAGGTCCCTGTTGTGGATGTTGATGATGATGGGATTGAATATGTAAGAGTGTTTGCTACCCCGGCAGCTGATGAGGTGTTTCCAGGGGATTCACAACCTCAACCCTCACAACCTCAACCATCACAACCTCAACCCTCACAACCTCAAACATCTCAACCAAAAAACCCTCCAAGAAGAAAAAAGCTTACTCCAAAGAAGAAGAAAAAACCCCCAGGACAGTCAACTCAACACAGACAACCCACACCTACATCACCCAATGTTCCCCAACAGCAGCCTTCCCCACCACAAACACCAATAGACCAACCCAGGCAGGCTACACCCCCTCCACCACAAACAACAGACCAACCCAGGAAGCCTACACCCCCTCCACCACAAACACCAACAGACCAACCCAGGCAGCCTACCCCCCCTACAGCACAACCATCACACCCAACAGCTAGAAGGCCTAGGCAACCAACCCAGCCCAAAGCACAAACCAGGCTTAAACCCAAAGAATGGAGGGTGCCTAGAAGCACTGTTGTTAAGTTTGGCCTTGATGTTGGCAAGAAAACTGCAGCAGGGAGGCAAATCAACACTAGGAGTGTTTCGGGGTTTTCTGATGTCCTGCGGGAGAGTTACAATTCCGAGACTGGAACCGGACGCCTGTACCTGCAAAATAACGGAGACTCCTGAGAGCTCCGCCTCCAACGGTCAAGTTAGTACCTGATTAAGGAGTAATTAATACGGAAATTAAAGTAATAAGACCTCTCTAGGTGAGAGTGTTTAATGTTGGTAATCTGCTTTGTTAGCGAGATTAGCCGGTTATTAGTGTTCCGTAATGTTTCTGTTCTTCTCTGTTCTTCAGGTGAGATTAATTGCTTGATCCATTGCTCCCTCAATTGCTTCATTCCTTTTAATGAGGATTAATTAAGTATTTATAGTCTTGAGAAGCGTGCCACTCTCTAGGTTTAGGGTAAACCTAGGGCTGACCGGGCCTCTAGACAGGATTGGGCCTTGTTGGCCGGTTTTCCCATTTGGCATGGGTGGACACGTGGCGTGCCTCGATTGGTCCGTAGAGGACGTATCTGTGATTGACACGTGGCAGGCTCCTATTGGCCTACGTGAAGGACACGTGGCGGAACCTGGTTGGTCCACTTGTCAGACGGTGATTGGTGGATAAAAATCCCCTAATCAAGGAGCAAAACAAAATTGGTGGTTGAAGAAATTGATGTTGAGTCTGATGGTTGGCCTTCTAGTGATAGTGAAGATGGTGATTATGAAGCTTCTGATGTTGAGGCTGATTCTGATATGGAGTTGGACATTGAAGATGAGTACATTGTGAGAGAAGAAGATGTTCCTGATAATATACATGAGAAGACCTTTGAGGATTACTTAGATGGGTCTCATGTGTTAGATAAAATGTACAAAAATGGTATAATCTGGTCTCACTCACCATTTGGATCCATTGTTCTTGAGGAGTGGTTGATTTTTGAAACCAAAACACAGTTTCTAGAGGTATTCAGAGATTACTGCATACAAGAGGGCTTCTCTGTTTCAGTTGACTATACTGACAGTAAGAGGTACATAGCAAGGTGTTTGATGAGGGATTGCACTTGGAGGATTCATGCTTCAGTTCTAAGAGACAAAGTCAGTTGGGCCATAAAGAAGCTAGAAGGAGAGCATGCAACTTGTGGGAGGCTGGAAGAGAATCCTATGGTCTCTTCAGCATGGCTATGCAGACATTTGCTTCAAGACTTAGAGACAAACCCAGATGTCCCAGTTGAGTCATTGCAGAGGCTGTGCATGGAAAGGTACAGGATCACTGTGAAGTTGAGATTGTTATACAAAGTGAGGAATTTAGCCAGGGAGCAATTACATGGTGGGTTTGCTGAGTCCTATGCAGCTCTTCCAAAGTATGCTGAAATGATAAAGTCCACAAATCCTGGGTCATATGCCCTTATTACATGGACTGGCAGTGAGGATCACAGTTTGAAATTCAAGGCATGTTTCATATCTTTTACAGCTCAAGTTAGAGGATTCTTAGGGGGTTGTAGACCTATCATAGGAATAGATGGTGCACATTTAAGTGGGTATTACAAAGGGATTATGCTCACTGCAGTTGCAATTGATGGGAATAATGAGATCTTTGTGTTAGCATATGGGATTGTTGACACAGAGAGCATAGATTCCTGGACTTATTTCTTCAGAAACTTGAGGTGCCTGTTTGCTCAGTATGGATCTCAGAAGGATGACTGGACTTTTATCAGTGACAGGATGAGAGTAAGTTTCTTCTTTGTCTTTAATTTGTGATTATGAAGCTGTTTACTAACTACTCTACTTTTGTTTAGGGGGTTGAATCAGCATTGTTTGAGGTGTTCCCAAGAGCTACAAGGAGAGTATGCTGCCAGCATTTGTACTCAAATCGCAAGGCTGCAGGATGGAGTGGGACATCATTTCATAAGTTGTTTTGGATTGCTGCAAATGCCTACAATGAGTATGTCTTTGGAAAAGCTATGTCAAAGATAAAAGAGTATGATGCAACAGCATTTGATTATCTGACAAAGGTTGAAGAGCAATGGAGTGTGCACATGTTTGACAGGACAGTTTGTTGTGATCATAACACAACAAACTTTGTAGAGTCATTCAATGCCATAACAAAGGCCAACAGGGACATGCCTGTGTTGACATTGCTGGAAGGTAAATTTGGTTCCCTGTTTTGCTCATTTCAATGCCTGTGCACATGGTTGACTTTTTTTTTTTTTTTTGGAATGATTAAGCTGTCAGGAATTGGTGCATGAAAAGGATGGGTTCCAGGTTTGATAAAGCAGTGGCCATGGATCCTCATGAGCTGACAGAGCATGCAAAGGGGGTGTTGGAGACTAGGACTGATGAGTCTAGGTTCTGCCATGTCACTGCAGCTAGTGGTGGAGAGTTTGAGGTGAGGGATGGCCATGTCAAGTTCCCTGTCACCCTTGGAAATATGACTTGTGGGTGTGGGAAATGGCAAGGATCAGGGATCCCATGCAAGCATGGTCTCAGGGTCATTTACAACCAGAGACTTGATCCTAGGGACTTTGTATCTCCTTTCTACAAGGGGGCTGCATATAAACAGACTTATGGAGACCACATCCACCCCATGGCTGATCCAACTCACTGGCCTTCACTTGATGTGCCAGAAATTGCACCTCCCCAAGGGAAAAGAAATGCAGGCAGACCACCTAAGCAAAGGAGAAGAGTTGCTCATGAAGCAAAAAAAGGGAAGAGGCACAAGAACAACAAATGCAGCCTGTGCAAAGAACTAGGACACAATACAGTGACATGCAAGGCAAGAAAGGCAGCAGCAAAGAAGGCAGAACATGCAGCTTCCTCTTCACAGCAACCCAACACAAGGGGGAAGAAGAGAAAGGCTGCTACTTAGCATTGTTGAAGCTAGTTGTGAAGTGTAATTTTTTGGTGAACACAACTCAGTGTCCTGTGTTTTTGAACAAAATGTTGCAGCTAGTTGTGAAGTGTAAATTTTTGCTACTACTTGGTTTATATGGCACTTCTTATTTAATGTATGTAATGCTAGTACTCAACAATTATGTAGGCATATTTTTTTGACAAACAATGTTACCAATTTAAGTACAACTTATTTAAAATACGAAATATTTTGTCTTACATTTTTCATTTTAAGGCTAGAAATACAATAAACACAAACAAAATTGCTCCTATTTTAATTGCTCCATTCACTATCTTTTGCTGTTTTGCTACTTTTTTCTTTAGCTCCTTCAACTCATGCTTCAACACGGTCTCACTTCCATGCGTGGTATTCCCTCCCCTACTTTGATTTTCATAACCCCACGAGACATTTTCATCAACATTGCCTTTGCACCATCTGAATGTATCACAAACATCACACTTGTAGTACAACCTTTGTGGATTTTTTGCCGAATCGGAGCTTCTTATTGCAAACTTCCTACCACAAGAACATGCTTTGTTTGGCACCCTTACATACGATGAATTAAAAGAAGACGACGACGATGATGATCTTGAGTTTGTTGACATCTTTGCAAATGCTTTTAGAGGTTAGAGGTGTGCCTTGGTACGTGACTCCTTCAAAAATCACATATATATGCACAAACTAGCCGTTACACTCTTCCAACGGCTACATTTTAAAAAAAAAATGGTATTTCATGCAAAATAAAAAAAAGTAATGGTATACGGTGAATTAAGAAATTACCCCAAACGGCACACTGACGGCAGTTGTCATTAATGCTATACTGTGCTAACGGACCTAAACTAAATGGTATATGGTGAATTAAAAGATTTTGTGTGGTATATGGTGAATTTTGAAGAAACTCAGTGGTATATCATGAAATTTCCGAAAATACTATGAGTATACCAAAATTTTCAAAATCCAATTCAAACCAATATAAGGTGCACGCAAAACGGCATTATATCAAATTCCAATATAATATATTATTATTGTAATATCATAAGAGATTAAAAAAAATAATAATAAATAAATATATTGGAAATTACCAGAATCTAAATACTGAAAATTAGGATGAAGAATACCAAATCAACGAACACCAACTAGTTAGTCGAGTCGACTTGCCGGACTTACTCGTCTATGTTTCTTCCTTAATTTATTCGCTGCTATCTAATGTTTAAAGATGATACCAACAAATATACGGAGTAGTGTTTATCTCGATCTCCGCTATCTTCAACCTAGCCCAAGAAGCTGGTATCAGAAAATTGAATTAAAATCGAAATTAATTGAGATTTTGGAGGAGAGTTGGTATTTGGTACGGAGTAATAAAGAGGGCAATACTTTGGTTTATTTTACGGTACTAGATTAGGTCCCGTAGGCCGTATCATGTACGGTAATTGATTTCACTATTGTTTATAATTCACACAAAATTTTTAAAAATCAAAAATAAAATATTATTTTGCTTAAATCAAAAATAAAATATTATTTTGCTTTGGTGGAAGAGGAGGCTGGAGCCTTGGTGGAAGAGGAGGCAGCAGGCTCATCATACAAAAATTTACTAGCTCTTTCCACTGCAATTCTATCCAAATCTGGTTGAACTTTCGGTTGTAGTCTTTTTATCCATTTGAGACAAATTTTGAATATTTCATCATCCACACGCACTGCACCCTTCTGATCATGCACATATTTATAAAGGAGATATGCTTCCAAAATGTTATTTTGCTTTCTGTTGGCATAACTGCAAGGCATTTTAAAAAATTTAATTAATGTCAACGTGATTAAAGATGACTAACTATTGTCTACTGTATTGTCTGTATAGAATCAATTCAAATAAATATCTTGTAACAGTTACATCATCCTGATAATTTATCAAAAATCCTTAGAAAGGAAGATAATAGACTTACGCAAACATAAACCATTCACCAAGTGCCAAAGTCGTTTTATGTCCAAATTCTTCGAGTCGTTTTTGCAAAGCCAATACCTCTGATCATACAAAATTAAATGAAAACATTAAGATAAATGAAGTACAAAATAATACAAATTTACAATACAAATAACACAAATATGCTTTCCAAATTTCTAGATAAGTCTTAATCTAAACAGTTTAACCTAGTCAATATTTATTAGCTTTCATTATCTCTCAAGTTGTTAATTTCAAATTAATATTCGCTTGCTTTCTCTATTGTTTCCTTAGGAAACTGAAAATGTTGTATTTATCTTTTCCAAGCTTTCTTTCCCTAAGCCTTAAAGCCACTCACTTGTAAAAGGAAAATAATCAAAAGCTTTCTAAATCTTACCGATCCTAGTAGAAAATAAGAATTAAAGCAAACAATAGACCATACTACATCAAACCATTTCATTGGAGGAAAATAAACTTACCTTCAAACCGTTTCAAACCTGCAAGTACATGCACTTTCATAGAATAGACTTTTAAATTTTTCAACCACTCATCATCAAGAGAAATGATAAAATCCAAGCACTCTTGTAATCTTTCTTGCTCCCACAAAGCTGAAATCTTCTTTGTTATTTCATCCTCTGAAATTTTATCCTTTGAATTCTTTTTCTTTTGCTGCCGTTTCTTCTTTTTAGCACCTTGAGTCATTGTCTTCACTCAAATTACAAGGCAAGTCATTGATAAGAAGCTAAAAAATTGACATCGCTTGGCATAATATTTGGTTGTGACACTAACAATAGTAAGAGAGAAAAGAAACAATCGGTTGGCATAATAATAATAATTATTACTGTATTATTATTGAAGTATGAGGAAAAACAGTTGGGTAAACATCACCATATTAATATTACCAAGTATTAATTAAGGGAGTATTGTATATCTTGTTGAACTAATATGTGATGGATCACCAGGAAGTCAGTGGTCAAGATACGGCAATCAAGAACAAGAAAACAGCAGCATCAAGGGAGGAAGACTAGAAGGGGTCAACAAGCAACAAAGAGCAAGAGACAAAAGTCATTAAGAAGAAGTTTAGGAAAACTAGCAACAAGTATTAGCTTTGTCATATTTTGGTTTTGCCTTTTCGGCTAATATTTTACATGTAGGCTAATTTCCCTTAGATCCTTGAGTATTATAAATGTAGTAGCAAGTATGTAGTTCACGCAGGCAGAAAATTGAGAAATTGGGCAATGAAAGAGTTGTAGCCTAAAGCTACTTTGGAGATTTATAGCCTAAAGCTATTTTTATCAAATCAGTATTACATTGTACTACTTGTATTACAGTGTAATTTACAATTCCTATTTCAGTAATCTAAGCTCTGTTGCAGTATTATTGTCGTATCTTCTGTTTGTGAGCTCCGTAGTGTTTGTGGTGAGGTTGATTGTTGTCGGGTGCACTGTTCTGGCAGCCCAACAATCTGGTCCATAACAGGGGCCTATGACTACTACTCGTAACTCTTTTTAGACTCTTACACTATATTTGGATAGCAATAGTGAAGGGAAAGGGAGGGGAAGGAAAAAGAGGGAAGGGAAAGGGAGGCGAGGGAAGGGAGAAGGAGACCTTCCATTTTCCTTCCAAATCTCTCCAACAATGGAGGGATTTGGTTTATTAAAAGTGGAAAAAATGGATCCCTCCAATTCCCTCCTTACATTAGATATCCAAACAAGGGAGGATGCATCCCTCCATTTCTCTTCTCTTCCTTTCCCTCCATTTCTCTCTATCCAAACATAACATTAATAAGAGTCTTAACTCTTAACCCACAAAATTATAAGCAAAAAGGCAAGACATCCAAGAGAAAATAAATTTATACTCCATATATACCCAAAAAATCAGAGCCTTCAAATATGGCAAGTTTCACAAACCAAAAAACGGCAAGTTTCACAAACCAAAAAATGGCTCCAATTATACATGCCCTTTCAAAATTACAGCCAAAACTAATTAGAGTTGTGAAGAAATTGAACAATTAAAACTAATTATTTCAGGTAATGTAATTTTCATGGAAATTATCAATCCATGTGTAACTGTGTCCTAAACTCTTTGGAAGCTAACTACTTTCCAAACATAACCTGAAAGTGAACAATAAAACATGGAATTCCCAAGGACAAGCTACATTTCTGATAAGAGAAATATTTCAGCAACTTAGTAAGTTACAGCACCAAAGTCAACAGCATTACGATACGAAAACCAGAATCTCTGTAATGTAACAAAATATAACTGAGCTATAATATGCTAAGAGACCAAATTCACCCCAGAATGGTCTAAAGCTTTGTTGATCTTGATCTAAAGATTCCAACAGAGTCCCATCCCCCCCCCCCCCCCACATCTCCATTTCCATGTTGCTGCCAAGCTAGGCTGCTACGTATAAAAATATATAATTATATAGTATAATAAGGTACGAAGTATAAAGACCCTAAAAACTAGATAGCAGCCATTGAATCTATAATCAAGCTATGAATTAAAAAAGCTCGTTTGTGATTCCACTAATTGGTATCAGTTATTGAAATTTTCAAACAAATTACAGCATAATCATAATCATATGAATATATATATCAGCTTTTCATTCTCACGATCAAACTACTCTAATTCTTAATTTATCTCTCTAAACCAATAAGACTTGGCGTGACATATTAAGAATCAGAATAACAATACCGAAATTAAGAAAATTCATAGTCTAATTCCTTATAAAAGGCAGGAAATCTGCTTGTATTATCACAAGAATACAATTCAAACTCATTTCATAAGCTAACAATTGAATATGCTGCTGCCAGATTGATATATAAAATCTAAAAACCAAATAATCAACTACTAGTTGCAAAGTTATTAACTAAAAAATACTATGAGTATACCAAAATTTTCAAAATCCAATTCAAACCAATATGAGGTGCACGCAAAACGGCATTATATCAAATTTCCAATATAATATATTATTATTGTAATATCATAAGAGATTAAAAAAAATAATAATAAATAAATTTATTGGAAATTACCAGAATCTAAATACTGAAAATTAGGATGAAGAATACCAAATCAACGAACACCAACTAGTTAGTCGAGTCGACTTGCCGGACTTACTCGTCTATGTTTCTTCCTTAATTTATTCGCTGCTATCTAATGTTTGAAGATGATACCATACAAATATACGGAGTAATGTTTATCTCGATCTCCGCTATCTTCAACCTAGCCCAAGAAGCTGGTATCAGAAAATTGAATCAAAATCGAAATTAATTGAGATTTTGGAGGAGAGTTGGTATTTGGTACGGAGTAATAAAGAGGGCAATACTTTGGTTTATTTTATGGTACTAGATTAGGTCTCGTGTCAGGTATAGTAATTAATTTTACTATTGTTTATAATTCTAACATAAAATTTTTAAAAAACAAAAATAAAATATTTTGTATAATGCATGTGGACAAAATATATAACCATACTATTTTTGTTTTTATGTATATAATGAAATGAAACATGAAATATAATGACGATAGAATAATTATACAAATAAGTTTAAAATTTTAATGATAAATTAATATCGTTTTTCTTTTTATTAACTAAATAAGTAAGTATTTTAAAATTGTATATTAAACACTATGGGATTGTAACATAAATAATTATTATAGTGTATTTGATACAGTTTAGGATAGTTTAGGCTTGCCCAAAACGGTCAGGCCAAATGGGCTTTTTGGACTTCTTTTGGGTCGGGCCTAAAATAAACTAAAAATGCATAAAGGATTCCCAAGCCCACCAAAAAAGCCTTATAAAAATCTTAGTTTTGCATGAAAAACTTTATTATTAAAAAAAGGAAAAATTGAAATTAATAATCCCACCTTTGTATCATATTCTCAAAACAATCCCACCTTTATATCATATTCTCAAAACAATCCCACCTTTACATATTCCAGAAATAATCCCTCCTTAACACCTCATATTCTCAAAACAAGCATTTTTACCTTCAACCAATTTTACAGGTTAGATTTTATTTTTATTTTATTTTTCTTTAATCCCTCTTCTCCTACCTCACCCCATTCCTCCATCACCACCACCATCACATCACCACCCACCACCAAACTGACCCCCACTTGAATCAAGGAGGAGGGAAAGGGAAGGGGCTGCCATGTCCAATCCCCACCCCAAATCCCCTCTTAACCCCCAAATCCATAAAAAGAGTGTTAAGTTCAGGAGTGTTTCTTGGCGTTTGGGCGGACCAGCAATGGCAATAACAGCAACAGCTACAGCAGTACTGCCGCCACTTCCGCCGCTTAAGAACAGGGATAGTCCACCGATGCTACTGTATAAGCTTGAAGATCTAACGCTGTTCAGCATTGGAGGAAAGAGAAAATACAGGGTAGTTTATAAATTGCCCAAGAATGGGGGATTTAGGTAATGAAACCTTTTAGTAAATGAGTCATTTTTCTTCAGTAAGGCTCAATACATAAATGAAAAAGGCAATATTGTACAAAATGTTTCGCCCCCCTCTGTTCGAAATTATTACAGGTCCCAATTGAATGAACAACTAGATCATTGGAGTTATCGTGTTATTAGTATAGGATTTATCTTTTTAACCATAAGTATTCTTTTAGGAGCAGTATAGGCCAATGAGGCATGGGGATCATATTGGAATTAGGACCCAAAGGAAACTTGGGCATTTATTACTTGGACCATATTTGCAATTTATTTACATATTCGAACAAATAAAAATTTTTGAGGTGCAAATTCTGCAAAGAAAATTACAGTAGTTTTGATGAAGAAGATAATGAAATTGGGTTTTTTTTTTCTTTCTCTCAAATTTCTGCAATTTTTAATTTGTCTTAATTTTTAAATTGTCTTTTTTTGTGGAGGAGAGAGAGTGGGAATGCAAGGAGGAAAGAAATGGGAAATGAGAAAGGGAGGGCGACTCGCTGGCTGGTCTGGCTGTTCCGGCGGCGCGGCTGGGTCTGGCTGGTCGGCGAGCGACTCCAGCAGGGGAAGGAATACAAAGGTTTTTTTTTATTAAAACCCAATTAAAAGGTGACACGTGTCAAATTACATTTTAAAATAAGTTACCAATTCAATCAACCGGTCAATAAATGAAAAAGGAGCATTTTGAGAATATATGGGGTATGAAGGTGGGATTATTTCTGGAATACGCAAAGGTGAGATTATTTTGAGAAGATATGCCAAAGGTGGGATTATTCTTTTCAATTTTCCTTAAAAAAATCACCAAGTTTATTTTTTTGCAAGAAGAAACATTACCTAATTATCCTCTAATTACTTTATTACTCTTTAATTTTCTCCAATTTTCCTTATTAACCTTAACTCACCTAATTCTTTAAATATTTAATTAAAATAAAAAACAAAGAAAAAAAAACCACCAACCAACCACCCCCTCCCCCTCCTCGGTAGCAGCCCTCTCCCCCGTCAAATCCGCTGCCCAAATCCCCCTACCCCAGCGACCTATCTCCATTGCCATTCGATCCTCCCTTTTCCCCTTTATCCATGCCATCGTCTTTAGTGTATTTGTTTAGAAATAATGTTTCGAATCGAGTTTGGGCGAAGAAGATGATCAATGGTGGTGGTGGAGGATGTAGGATAAGGAGCCGATGGGGATAATTAATGGACAGGGCTGCCCATTAATAATAGGGTCGGGCCAAAATTTAAAGGGTCTTGACCCTTTAATATTTTAGTGGATAGGGCCACTAAATGGCTTTAAGATATAGGGTGAATAATGGACTTTTATTGACAGTCCATTAATATCAAAGAAAAATTAAAGGGCCAAAAAACCCAAATTAAAGGGTCACTAATCTCTCCTCCGCCCATTTCTATTTTCTCTCTCCTCCTCCCCATACTCTTCTCCGCCATTACCGACCACCTCCGATCACACTCCCCCCTTCTTCTCCCCCTCCACTACATTGTTTTGTTACTTCTCCTCTCAACCATCTGACTCGGACTTCACTCACTTGCTTAACCCAGTCTTCACTTACTTGCTTAACCCAGTCACTGAGTCGGTGCTCCATATATTAGGGTTTATCGACGGTTCTAAGATTTCTGATGCTGTTGGTAGCCTTTTAGATGATTCTGTTCTTTCGATTCGTTATTTTGTTTCCGTGCTTGATGTTTTACATGATCTCACTTGTCTTCCTTGGTAATTCATTTGTTTAAGTTGAGTTATTTTTGGTGATCGACATTGTTTGATATTTATTTTAGCTGTAGAATTATAATTGTTATTTTTATTGATTTCAATTCGATAAGATTTACAGTACTGGCTATTTTCTATTGTTCTTAATTAGTTTTTACTTTTTCAGACTTCTTCAATTTCAGATTCTGCCTTTAGGTTTTGGATTGGTTGATCGTTTCTAATCTGATGATTGTTTGTTTAATTCAATCCCTGAAGAATTAGGGTTTCGATTGAGTTATTGATGTTCAATTTCTGCGAATTGTATCGACTGTTTTGTTGATTGTTGCTGCTTTCATATTAGTCCGTTAATGGCTCGTTTCACTTTTACCTCGACCCTGACCCGCATTGACCCGGCCTGACCCGACCCTAACCCGCTAAATATTTATCATGACCCGCAACCGACCCGCCCCGCTAATGACCCGCACTGACCCTCCCAATAACCACCCCTAGGAGCCGATGTTACATTGGTAAGAGTGGGGTTTCATCGAGGATTTTGCAGTACATCTTGCTCATGGATGATGATATCTTGTATATGATGTGCTTCGTGTAAATAAAATATTTTTTTTCCAAAAAAAACTCTTATTAGTTAACTAGAGGTGATTAATTTTCAACCATCGACCATCAATGATTGAGTTTTTCAAACAGTGATTTAGTTTTTTTAGCTAGGTAATCTTAATATTTTTTGGCCGAAAATACACTTCCAATCATCAAAGGGTGAAAAATAAAACTTGATCAACAAAGGTGAAAAATACAAAAACTTCATCATCGTATTTATGCTTAACTCTGTTGATGTACTTAACACTTATTTCACTGTTGTTATTTGTTACATTGATGAATCTTCTATCTAATTTAGCAAATCCAGGCCATTAGTGGTTGTATATTTATTACTGTATGACAATGTGTAGGTAGACCTATTTACTTTTATTTTTGGGTTTTTCTAAGTTAAGCCCCTAAACTTCTTTATTTTCTAAGTTGTACCCTCCAACTCAGTTTATGTGATCAACAATACCCTTGGCACCCATAATTAACGGATGTTAAGTTGGCCGTTAGTGGGCCCACTCTCAAAATATCGAATTATTTTTTCTCGTTTTGTGTGCCGAAAGGTGTTTCCTTAAGGTTGTGGGGGCTATGAGCTCGAAATTGGCAAAAAAAATTACGTAAAACCCTCGTTTGCTTGTTTAAAAGTGCATCGGTTTGCGTGTCGTTTATTGTTTTGCCGATAAATTTGTCTGGGTAAGATTTTAGGGGTCTATTTAGTCCTATGGATCCAAATTGAGCTCGAAATTGACAATAAAATAACAAAAATGTCTCGTTTTCTGTGTTTAAAAGTGCATCGGTTTGCGTGTTGTTAATTGTTAAGGTTTTGCCATGCGTTTATGTTACTTTGGTCCGACCCGTAAGCCCGACTTGATCCGCCTTAAAAATGGGCGAGTTTGGGCAAGCCAAAAAACAATATTAGTTAAAAAACTCGGTCTGGTCCAAAAAACCCACTTAGGTCTGACAAGCCCGACATTTTTTTGCGGGTTTAGGCATGGCATGAGTTTTCTTATTAAAGCTTGCCTTAGCCCGAATTTTGATCACCTTTACTGCTGATGTACTTAACACTTATTACATTGTTGCTATTTGTTACATGATGATTCTTCTATTTAATCTTGCAAATCCAGGCCATTAGTGGTTGTATTTATTACTGTATGACAATATGAAGGACTGAAGGTAGACCTATTTACATTGTTTTTTAGGAAAGGACCTATTTACATTAAATGTTCTTCTAACTAAACTTGTTGAATGAAAAGCAAAAAATATGAATACCCTCAATCAAGTTACCACCCAAACTAAGGGAAAGTATTTAAAGGGTGTAGATTTCGTTTCTTAATACCTTAACTTTACCGCATTATTATTTTCTAAGCAAATGATGAGACAACAAGGATTAAGGTATATTAGTATGTAGGATAATGCAAGTAAACCCGTGAACTTAAACTCAAAGACAAAGAAATTTCAAGTTTTCAACTGTTTTCATAATTGCATTCAACATCACCCACAATAAAAGTGTAGGAATAGTGAGTTTTAGTGACCACCGAAAGCTTTGCATCATGGATATTGTTTCATTCATTGTGGAATGCATGTGGACCTCATTATCA